TGCCACGTATTTCGACAACGTGAGATCAATGGCAGTGGATTATTGGAAATACGATGTCGCGTTTTCGTCGCCGAGCGCACTCTAGCTTTACAATAGCGATATCTTTGACCTGGTTGGTATTGGCAAGGCGAATGGACACCGTCGCTTTGCGGTCAAACCGAAACGATCAAGTTAGGTGCCAATAGTTATGGTACGTGTCGCACCATACAATTCTGCAACACGATTGAGCGATATTATTTCACGAGTTTTCGAGAATTATTTTACTATACTTACTTATTTTACTATACTTTACGATCTTCATTGTTTCAAACATTCATGTTTCCATTTATTAATATTAATCTTAAGAAATTTATACTTTATATCTACTCTAATGTGCTACGCTTCATTTTTATGCTTAAATTCCAACTATTATCGTCGAGTTACATACGCTATAAAACTTCTAACAAATTTATTTTTTCTATAATCAGTATGCAGTTTAAAAAATTTTGCTTATATTTAACGTACAGTGTTAATGTATACTGAAAAAAATTAAAAATATATTTTTTAGATACTTACTTTGAAAAAATTATGTACTCAACTGAAATATAATATAAGACAACTTAACTTTAATTCTATTTTAGTTAAATTAAGTTAATCTGAATTTTTGACGTATTCGTACATGAAAAGTATAATTAATTTAACATAAGACTACATAAAAAATGTACAACTACTTGTAGTATTAGTTTTGAATGATAAACAATCTCATTAATTTTGGGACGAAGTTAAAAATTATTTTTGTAATTATTGATCGACTAAACAGTTTGCATTATTAACTCGAAAACAATGTTAATTAATAAGTGGAAACAAACAAGCTACTAATGCAACGTTGTAATACGAGGTTTTCACACTCATAACAATCAATTTCGCTATTTATGAAAATAATACCATTACACTAATGAATCTAATATCACAAATTTTAATTGATATTCAACCGAGTGTCTCCGATCGACCTATAGCAAAATAATTAAATTTATCAAATCATTTTAAATTCGCGTTATTATCTTACGCATTGTCCGCGCATTTTTTTTAATAGCATGTTCGTCACGATGCTTCGTGTACCGCACGAATTTTTAATTGCGTATCACGTCGAACAGAGTGTCGTAAACGCATCCTGTCACGGTTCAGCCACTGTCACGCAGTTGTCGCCTGCTCGTAACTCGACATGTCGCGGCTGCCAGTAGTTATGTCTGCGTTATGGTCAGACGTGACATACGTTTGCACCGTAGCGGTCTATCGGTAAGTCAAACGTCATCTTACGAAACAATATATTAGATACAGTATTACACGTGTAGAAATGTTTGAACTGTGAATAAACATTTATGTTCCGCAAACAATCCGTATATGGTGAGTAAACGCGAAAGGATAAATATACACGAGAAACGCAAATAAATTAAAAAAAAATAGCATATTCCTACAGCTATCGATGACCATTCCCTTCAGAAAAATAGCACTATTTTCGATCGATTTTTTTTTTTTTAGATTTGTTCAAAAACGACGCGTTAAATATAACAAACGATGTCGCGCGGGATACTCTGATAGGGATTTACCACGCCGAGGTAAATGCCGAACTTCCGAAATGTTCGTCCGCTGACTATATCGTGTACTATATTCGGTTGAATACGACTGGCTTTTGGTGGCAGCTCCGGTAGTTTCCAAAACGACCAGCGGTAATGATCGACGGTATCAGTATAGATTTTCATCAAATCGGCCGAAGCGAGATACCATTCAGTCGGCCGTTCAGCCGTGGAATGCACCGCCGAAGGATTACTCTATTATCAGAGCGATGCATATTGCGACGTCATAAAATCGTACAGGAGAGAAACACCCGCAGGTAATCGAGAACGCACTTTGCTGTGCTCATGTTCGACGCATACCATTATCCTGTACATTACAACTAGGCAGAGTTATAAACAACTGCGAACATCCAACGCACCTACGGATTAATCCTAGACTAGCTCCTTCCGCAGCACAGCTTCCAGCACAGATTCAAATTTCTGGCATAGCGAAATGCGAGGAGGTAGAAGCACTCAGGTTTTTCGAAAGTTCACGCGGAAACCCAGCAACCTATCTCCTGTTACTCAACAACAATAAATTAATCCGGTTACAAAAGGGGAATAATCACGCGAATCTAAATATAGAAAAAATTTTATTACGACGTGAGAATGCGCACGGAGGAGGATATTGTATTTCTCGGAAATCTAATTCTACGCAATTTTTGGTACAACAAACTGTGATGTGTATTGTATTTTGTGCAGGATAAAGAACATACATTCTGGAATTTCACTTACGTCACGCGAGAGAGAACAGGTATTTCGTAAAGAAAATTAGAAAGAGGAAATGTTATATACAACATTATGCTAGTAGAAAAATCATCATAAGGAATGTTATGACATTTTTTTAATATTGAGAGCTATGTAATAACGATTCTATGTACAACGTTTGACTCGAAAGGAGAGTAGATTGCTGGAATCACGCGCGCGCACGGTATAGTAAGATAGATAGCTTGGCAAAAATAAAACTATTTGCATCGCGGTATGTATACCGCTGTGACATACGAAAATGCATTTGAGAGAACATAAAATATTAGTGCGAGCTACTTCACTTCAATTTTATCCAATACGTTTTGTCTTTGAGAGCTGCGGGAATATGAGTCAAGCCATATCTCTAAGCGCAAACATATAAGACACTCGACATACACATATATGCAGTCCAGTTTTATTTTATTACGCACGCGAAGCTGGAATAAAACAAGACAAGACAGGAAGTTTATTAAAGTCAAAAATTTCGGTAGCATTCACGTTGGTGAATGTTCTACTTCTCACGATTGCCGCGAGTACGAGTGATGCGAATCCGATCGACTACATCGGATGTAAAACTGAACTTTCAATTTGTTTTCTATGTGTCTGTAACGCCGAGTTTCGTTACTCATTTTGCAAGTATCATCCACTTTTTCCGTTCCGATAAATAATTACTTTTTTTTCTGTATACACAGAAAAAAAATGTTTCTGATCACAACTAATTCTGATTAGCTGAAATTGCATTAGTTATAGCTATAACTGTGAAATTTACTAATACATAGAAAGGATTTGCTGCTGTAGCTAATATAAGGATGTGATAGCAAAATGTGTCTGTTACAGTCAATTTATTTAGTAATATGAATTTATTGTCATAATTATGCACTAAGAGAAAGGATTTTGTTAATTTAGCCAGTATCTTTACCCAAGTAAATATGTGACAACAAATTTTGTAGTTGTGTTTGCTGCTAGTCTGCTATATCAATCAATTATTAGTAACAGAAGCAAACTATATAGAATCTAATCTATCTTTTGAATAGATTTTAGGCTCATTTACATAGAATTTGTAGATGATTGTGGAGTCTTAAGTCATAGGAACCCGACCAAGCAGAGTCAAATGTAGGGAGAATACTTGATTAGAATTGGTCAATTTCTTACGATTTGGGATCTTGCAATTGTCTATGACTTATATATATATATATGAGTTTCTTATTTGCTAGCGATACTATTGATTATTTGTTACATTACGAATTAATTTACAATCATAACAAATCGATTGATTTTTTAACAAATATCACATTTACTTTCCCTTGATTTGTTCCTATAACAAAATTATTTCTCTCAGTGTATATCCGTGTAAAAAAAAATTGTCTCTATCACAGCTAAATATGGTTTATTGAAATTATACCATCAAATTATCTGCTACACAAAAAATGTTTGCCACAATGATCAATACGTTGACATAATAGCAAAATATTATCTGTTATAATAATATTTAAGCACACAATTAATGGAAATTAGACCTCACAGACACGAGATTGATGTCTATATATACTACCAAATTTAGCCATACCTTAATTGTGGCAGCTAATCTTTTTTTTTCTTTTTTACGATACCGATGTAACTTGCGAATCAGTCTATTCAATTATTGCTGCATTATCTCGACGAGCAATTAAACACTCTCGAGAGTGAACACATTTCTAAATGGCATGCATTCCATTGCGTTATTTTCTTTTTTTGTTGTAATAATTGTAAGTACTCCACGCTTTAAAGTAAATTGCGACGTTCGTTATCTCGCCAACGGCTGTAAATAATAGAGGCGATTGTAGGTAGTATAGGTCATCGGGAGATGTTTGGACCCAGCGAACGAATTTCGAGAACGGCTATGCACATTTGATGAAGGCGCGCCTCGTCAGAGATAAAAGCACTGGATGCTAAACGTACTCGCGCACATCGAAAGTTCGCTATGAATAATTCTGTTCGGTTCGTTTAGTGCTTTACCATTGTACGCGCGTGCGAGGTCAGTCAACTCAGCTGCAACCCAGCTACGTAATTGACCTTGCAACTCGCGATTTTATTTCCTTTATTCATCTGCTTTTCATCCACTCGCAGAAATGCTGCGATCGATTCCCACGCCGAGCTCTTCAGATCTGGGTTGGGAAACCTGATATCCTAGATATCAAGTGTTTACTGTTTAAGCGTAGATATGCATCAAAGCTGCTGTAACAACGGATATTTGGAATAGTTCGATAGTGGGTTTACAGTGGTTGACAAAATACAAAATAAATCCATAAGTACACCAGAAAACAGAAGATACATACGATGATTTACTACGAGAATGATCTCGAACTACCGCGAATACTTGAAAAACGAAAGCAACAATAAATTCATATGATGCATGATTTACTGACTCGTATTTGAAAGAAAGTTGTTAATATTATAGTGTTATTAATATATTGATATGTTTGATATTTTTACGATATTATAGCAGCTGAATAATATTCCCATACGATTCCGAATCTACAGTAGTAATATTTAAAAAATAAAAAAATACCTTTGAGAAAACTGTATTAATATTTGACTGAAGATTCGAAAGGGATTGCCATTCGACAATACGCGTTTTCCTTGTCGACGTGGTATGTTTTTGAAATGATGTGATCATTTCAGGATGGTCCAGCCTCCGCCTTGCCGTTGACCCAGACTCTGTCGAACATTTATGGCCGCAGATCGGCCAGTCCTGATGTTCCAGGCTCCAATCTAGACGAAACTCAGGTTCGTAAACGTACAAATTTTGCGAAAATAAATTGCAGATTTTTAAGACACATTTGCTCTCGCAACTCATATTGTCATTATAATACATATTAAAACTTGTTCTATAAGAACTGTGAGAAAATCTTCATCTTATAGTGATCGTTATAACACGATTAACGAATATATTTAATTTTAGTCTTTCTCTCCAATAAAATATCGAAAATAAAATATTATTAAAATATTGAATTATACTAATTCTAAGATTATTTGAATGAATTTAATCAATAATTGATTTATTATTATTATTAGGTAAGCTACAATCGTTTCTTGTAATTCATATGGATGTGTCGATCGATGCATGCAAAGTAAGAAATGGTTCAATCATTGTTCGTACTTGACGCATAGCTTGGTAACGATATTGTTTATAGGCTTGCGATGGTAAGCCCGTTTTCTATAGCTGAATATGCTTGGGAAGATCCCTGGCTTACCAACTTGTTCGTTTGAAATATTTGCGGCAGCACAACCTAGAATTCTATTCATAGTCTCAAACCATTTCCTGAGGTCTCGTCGATAACGCGATTTCCAAGGCTACATTTAGATTCCCTATCTCTGTCTCTCATTTTATCCTTGTAATTCATCCTTGTAGTTCAGAATGTTACAACAAGAATAAAACTGTATAGTTAGGAGATCACGAACGGGGAATCCGAATGTGTCTTAAAATATATATCTTGTGTCTGCGAAATTAATTTTGGATCTTTTCTTGTAAGAAATTTTTCACTTTCTTTATGAAGCATTCATAATCACCAAATTAAAAAACTAAATAACAATTATAACAATATATTTTTAAATTGATAAAAATTAAAGTAATCTTCCAGCTTATCTCTTCAGCTAATTTCTGTAATAATTATCTGTATTTGAAGCATAATTAATTAATTTTATGTTTATTCAAACGAGCTTTTATATTGCTAGTCAAGAAAGAGGAGTTTCTTGTCTTGTGTGATATAAGATTTACATGATTTTATAACTGATTTTATGTAAATCTCAGCCAAGTATACTTAGATTCTAAAATATCTGTTATCAGTTCTGATCGTTGGAAATACTGAGGGTATCTCTTATACATCTCTCTTTATACCAAGCAGGATATAAAATGATATCGATATAACAATATTATATTCGCCTGTCATGAACTTTGAAATGAAATAGCAATATTTAACGTAGAAAGTGTTGAAACATGATATATATTTGCAACGTCAATGTAATGTGAAAGGGCTATTTCGAAAAATTTTATTATTACGTGCGTAACTTGGTGTATATTTACATCACGATACGCGATGCATCATTGAAAAATCGACGCTTACCGCATTTTTATTATCACTTAAATCTATCCGACATGTACCATAGTTCCTGCTGTACTTGTCCGTTCGAGTAGCATCCGGCGATCGAGCGATATTTTCATGAAAATAAAAGCATCGATTTAATGCACATCTTTCATGCTTCGGCATTTTGCGGAAATCAGAATGAATATGCAGTTCGTGCGCACGTAAATCTCGATGAATACTCGATGGCTTGCGTTTTCACCGGTGCCATCAACAATTTTCACAACTAGCACAAATTTATTTCATCGGCTTCTTTTCGTCAGAAATTCTTCTATGTTATGTCAATATATTTTTATCGACAAGAATTATAGATTTGTAAATCGTTCTTTTTTTTTCAAGCAAAATTTAATTTCAATTAACTCTTATGATTACATTCAATAACTAGGCTGCAAAGTTTAAATTATATCTATTAACTTTGACGAGTTAAGATAACTATATTTTGTTAGAGCCTATATATCGTCTAATTAAATCCAACGGTACAATTAATGCTTATGCTAATTATTTTTCTACATATATAATTATAATTAATCATAGTTCAATTAATCATTCATAAAAATAACGCATTATTGTTACTATTATTTTTTATATTGTACAAAGTAACTTTAACTTGTTACCAATATTACAAAGTACGATAATGCATTACAGTTACTTAGGAAGTAATGGATCGTTTCTTTTTTTGTTATTTTTTTGTAATATTAAATAAAACAAAATATTAGATTAAAAATTATATTATTTAATAATATAATTAATATTACCAATTGCAATATTCATTAAAATTCTAAACTAGTCTTTATTAAGTCTTTCCTTTTAGTATTTTTATTTTTTAATATATGCTTATCTTTAGGAATTTAGATTGTAATTTACAAACGCATATTTTATTAAAAATTTTTATTAAGCATTGTTTTAAATATTGTTATTTAAAAATGCATTTCACTATTAATGAAAATTTAGGTCATGTTATATAATACAAATTTTCATTATTTGCAGTGATTGTCAGAATAAAATCTAATAATAAGATATTAAGTGTTAAACATTTTTTAGTATTTAAATTTTTATTTAAATAAAATGTTTCTAGCTAATTAAAAATAATGCGTTCTAATAAAAATAATGAGAAATTAAAGTAACAAAAGAAGCACAATTAAATCGTTACTATAAAAATGTAACGACATCACCGTATAGACAGGAAAAAAAACAATTGTTACTGAAAAAAAAATAACGATAAAAATAATGACGTTACAAGTAACGCATTAGGGGAGATCGGACACGGCTGTCACAGTTTCTGATCAGTGATTTTTAGAAAAAAGTAGATGCCTGATTTTGAAATATACATTATAATATATACATTATAATATACCTACATCCTTCAGATATATAAATAATATTAAAAAAAAATTATTTGTGAATTCATTATATCATGTAACAAATAAGTTATTTAATTTTAAATGAAGCTGCGAAAATGTGACAATTAATCCCGTGTTCTGGATTGATTGTCACACATCTAGGATTGGCAGTAGCATATTTGTTGTGGGCAACAAATATAAAAATTACAATTTTTATTTTAACATCAGTTTTATATTTTGAGAAATAATAGTAATTATGGTATTGATACAAATAAAATAATTATTTTAATCATAAAATATAATTGTTTTTGTTCTTTCAACCATATATAATTTCTATATGAAAAATGAAAAAATATATTACATTTCATATATATCTATATGAAATATAATATATTTGTAAGTATATTCTCTAAAAATGTGTTATCTAAAAATATTAATATTAATTGTCACCTAACCTCATCTCATTTTTGATCAATCTATCCCACATAGCCATTTTTAATAAAAGAGATTGTATTCACAAACTTTGTCAGCATAATGATTAATTAATTGTAGCAAAGAATCTTCTAAGACATGTCATTTTCTACGAATACAGGGATATCGTGATTAATAATATCAAAGATTTATTAGACAAACAAAATAAGTGAGAAAAATTTACTTACCAACTTCATTTTCTTAAAAATCGCTATAAATAATATATATAATGCTTGTAGTACAAACATTTTACACAACAAATTAATATTATATCAGCAATCTACAGTCAGAAAAAGAGATTTTTCTATCATGTCCTGTTTGAATTATAAACATTTGGACAATCAACCTCGTACGACAACTAGCCTCCTCTACTTCTTAATTTTGTAATATAATCTTTTGTTCTATTTAATATACTAATTATATTAATACATAAGCCATGATATATTCAAGTAACGCTTTTTCGCTGCCGTTAAAGAACTAAACACGCACTTAAAGTTTAACATGAGAAGAGCATTCGTCGGCTTGAGCTTCTTCTCAGCGAAGATGATAAGAAGTTTATCTTGGTTAACTATAAACATAGAAATTAATTCGCTTTAACGTCACTTGCAGACTGCAATTTTCCATCGTGCTGCTCCTTGTCCTTTCGCCATCATTATGGTGCAAGACCTTACCGCGCAATTCTTCGCTTCGTTCCAGAATACGATTGCGCGATTCTCGATTATCTCCTCATATTCTTCCTATCAAGTCCAAGGTTTTCTGGAGCTGCGAGACGTTGCATTGTGCCCCGGCATTGTGCTCGTAATGGACATCCGATTCGTAGAATAAAATGAGTCCACGAGGCCATTTCGTGAAAAGACACGATAGATGACTGTGCGTGACGGTTAATTAACCCGCGCGGTATTTCGCGTATTATTACGTTCACGAATAACTCCAGAGTAAATTTCGATATGTGAAGCGAAATGATAAATCGAATAAATCGCTACTCGCCGACCTGTTTTCAGCTTCGCGATTCATAATTTATTGAGACTAAGCGTTAATTGGTGAACCAAATTAATCATTTTTTGAAATCAACGACGCATCAATAGCCGCGACATCTCAGCTTATAAACCAAACTGAAAATCAGCGTGTCATCATTATTGATGCTGTTTTGCAGTCCGCATATTTACGGACAGAATACGGCGAAATGCTTGAAACAGGATTAGGCCCGAGGCTACGTTATGATACATTCCGTTTGATTTGGGTAACCTGATTAACTTCCGACGTGTTGATGCTGAGGTTTGTTTAATCCATTAATGATCGAAACGTCGATATCGTCTGTCGTTGCATGACACGAGGGAAAATATCCATTAATGGAACTTTATTATTCATCGCTATTTAATCAGCTTCTAGAACGCTCGTCATTGTTTTTGTTATTTTTTAATTAACTCGTTAAAAAACAGAGAGCACAGTATATACTTCGTCAGACGAATGTTTCTACTTGAATTAGATCGAAAGTAATTGCATACTTATCAAATATAAATTAGCTAAACAAATATATAAAATGAAGCTCGAAAGAATTTATCAGTGAAAAATGTAAAAAATCTATCAGAATATATATTAGCTGGTCGGATGCACAAAAAATTTTTTATTTTCGTAAAATTATTATACTTATATTATACTTATATTATTGTATAAGTTAAAATTTTTGATAATCATTGAGCTATTCATTACATAACTAATTTGACAATTTGGATAAAGAAGAATGAACTAAATTGTCGGGAACTATCAACTTGGAATTTGCGTTATTTAAGTAATTTCGATTTATATTTTGTATTGATAAGGATCCGAATGGAAGGATCGAAACGTATTCATTTTATTCATTTTGTTGTGTACATTCACACGAAAATAAAGAATTTTCTGTGCATCCGAATAACTGGTGTAGAGCTCTGATGAGCTTTTTTACATTTTTCACTGATAAATTAATTAATTTAATAAGTGATGCAATATATACAAACTAATTATATTTTGGGATAAAATTCATCGTAGAAAAATACTTCAAAACTTGAGTTAAAAAAATGCAATTCCGAGGAACTAATCGAAGATTCTCGTGGTGAACGTGAAGTTTAATTAAGCAAGAGTTTAATTTGACTGGACGTAAATTCGCATGCGGACACAATTTCTTCGGGCATTGATCTCGGACCACTATTGCGTTGCTATCATCTGAGACATTACATTCCACATAACGTCGCGACCACTCGACACTTAAACGCAAAATTAATGACAGTTGCCAGTTGAGAGTCACGAAATAAATGGCGCGACTCGTTTGAACTTATAAATAGAGTGTAACGATAATTAATCATCTAAGTTCTTACAATTTTGGATTTAATCGAAAAAAGTAACAAACTTTTTGAAGAGTCCTTTAGACTGCCGTTCCAATTGTGAAGATACTTCAGCGTCAGAATTAGATAGCAACGCCTTCTTCGAAAGCATACTATTGATATCAACGTCGAGTCACTGTTACATCAGTATCGACGCCGACGTCTTACATGCCGAAGTATAAAATCAGCTGCTCCAAAAAATTCGGGACTCGATTGTGTAATCAAGTGTACTTTTTTACCTCAATGAATTATCTTAATTACAATTAATTATTGATATTAATACAATAGTTTTCTAAAAAAGTGTTTGCGAAATGCTCGGACATAAACTTTTTTTCAAGCACATGAAAAATAATGTATGATAAAGCAAATGAAGTGTATCTCCAACGAAAATATATAAAAATAATAAATACACGCTATATAAATAAATACAGAAAATAACCAAATAAATAAAAAAAGGCCAAATATGCTTGAGAATAGATCTTGCTAAATAATATTTATATGTATTTAAATTTTAAATACATCATCTAATTATGTAAACTGTTCTCCGATTACTGTCAGATTTGAAACGCAATAACAAACTAAAACTAAAATAATAATATTACAAATTAAATTGATTGTCAATTTAATAATGATAATAAGCATCTTACAATATTGCGGAGAATTTATTGCGAGAAATATTAATCCAGTTAGGAGTTGTAATCTTAGAACTTCCTAACTATTCA